CTCCTCCATCTGGGCCCCTTAATTTGTTGTTGGTTAGAGTCCGAGTTGAGTTTTTATTGTGGACCAGGAGGTGCGGTGGTACGTCTAGGTGGGGGTCCGGTGAGGTAGATGCTGCGAAAGTCCGCTCTCATTATGGACTAACTGACGCGCCAGTCATCGTGGCTGCTTCACCTTGCTGTGGGGCACACGGTTAACATCGTCAGTCGCGGCGGTGGAACTGTCATATATGTAAGTGCATGTATTATGGTGGAGGAAGCTCACAGGTCGCGTAGCGGGACCTACTTGAGCGCTGAAATTTAAGGCTCGATCTAGAATCCCGCAGGCAGCCAAACAGCGGCCAGCAACATATGCAGAGTGAGATTGTCGACAAATACGAGAGAGACGGCCATAATCATTTCTGGCTTGTTAACCATCGTCAGCTAGGCCTATACAACGCCAGGTTCGGGGATACCTGGGACTCAAACCCACGACCCGTTGGTCAGTAATTCAGCACTGAACCGAGGACTCATTGTCCTGTCAGTTGCATTCAGATATAGGAACAATGAGATAGAGCGCTCACCGATCGCATTAAGGGCCATAGTCGCTCAGTTATGCCTTGGGGCTCGATCGACAGCCGCACAGCGGCTGGAAGGACATTACCAACAAAGTCAAGGGAGATTGGAATGACCTTCTCTATGTGAAGGAGACGCAATCGTTGGGACAAGAACTCTATTCGCCCGACGTTTCGGATTCCTGCTTGGATCCATCATCAAAGATAATAGCAGATACGCAGATAGCAGACCCGTATCTCTGATAATGGGTTTGAGCATGAATCCCGAACGTCGACGGAATAAAACTTTTGTCCCAACGATCGTATCTCCTTCCTCACGACTGCCTCCTGGGACTCGTCTCTTCGCCTCTATTGACCTTCTTTATCTCTGCCATAGGTAATTACCCGAAAGCAACCGACAGAACGATTCCGCGGCTCAGTGGTTAGCTCCTTAGAGTTCTAATCAACCGAATGAGGGTTAGAGCCTCAAGGGCTGCACACCTCGGGGTTGGGTGTAGCTAACTGATGACGGCTAATGAGTTCTAGACCGAGTCCTAGGACATAACGAAACGAGAATGTCCCAGTAAGCGATCGGTAAGCGAAGTTGTAACCAAGCCGCCACCCCTCGTCTCCGTGAGCGTCGGCTCTCGGCTCTGAGTACTCGCTTGCACTGTTGGCCCTGTCAGGATGCAGAGCGAGGTGGGCTGGATGTAAGTCTACAGCCCGGCTGAGTGTGTCAGTCGAAGACCAGCTTTCAAGCACCAGTCTGGCTATCTTACCACTGGCCTAACCAACTACCCTAGCTTTCTCAAAGACGAAATGGTGGTTCAGCTGTCGTGTTTGGCCATATACCAAAGGTAGCTTGTCCTTGCGGTTGGTTGCAAGTTGGTGCTCTTGCAGCCTTGTGCCAGGTCGTTTGCCTGCTTCGCCAACATACCTCGCATCATAATTTTGGCATGGTACGATGCAGACCACTGCTGATCCTATTCTCATAAACGGAGTTTCATAAAGATTTTAAGTAGTGCGGCAACAGTCCCGCACCAAAAATATTCCAGTCGAACAAGACAATTTTTAGACTATTTCCCTCAAAACCCGTACCCTTGTGATTTCGTGTGTCTCTGCATGAGGCAGCATGAGTCAAAACAAGGCACTTTCAGACAGGCGCATAAACTAACAGTTTGGCAAAACTTCCTTTCATTAAGGATGCGTCTGGACTCGGGAAGACGCAAAATAAAAGAGCCACACCAATTGACCATTGCCTTAAGAATATAAATGGTTGGATTAACGGGCTAAATAAAAAAAAATCGTCTGCAACATACCATGCAGTAGTCAACTTGACGAATCAGATTGCATTTGCATGCATAGAAATTAACTGACGTTAAGGAGGCAAGACCATGTGTTCAGTTGCGATACACACCCTTACCAAGGAGAAGCGCAATGTTGACATCTGTCTAATCAGGAGGTTTTGGGACATCTCGATACTACTCATACGAAGTAATCATGCGTAAATCTAGAGCAACGTAAACCGTCGCACAGCGGTTAGAAATATATTCGAAGGGAGACTATTGAAAAGGACGAAGGAGACTTGATCAACAATTTCCGACTAGTTGGCCGTAGTCCGTCAGCAATTGTGGACTAAAGTCACGCTCTTTTGGCTAATAGGTCAATGGTAAAACTTTGGGCCGCGGGCTCGTTGCCCTGTCGGTTGCAATTAGGAATATCAGCCGTGTTAGAAGTGCGTTCGCCGGTCGAGTTACAGGACATCCTCGTCCTGCTGTGCCTCGAGGTTCAGTCAAGAGCCATCGCAGGCAATCGCGAAGCAATATTTATATATAGGCATATGACAGTTCGTCCGTCGTTTTCGACTATTTCCACCGTGTGTCCAACGATAGGCTGTGCGCAGGTATGGTAAGTTCTGGGTGAACACTTGTGCTGCATCTACCGTTCTCTCACCCCGTCGTCATGACATAGTTAAGAAGACTTGAGGCGGGTAGCAGGCTGGCGAGAAGACAGAATGAGATCGAGTGAGATCTTAGCCACAACGATGGGGATCAGACTCCTACTTGACATGCTTATATACCTCACTTCATACGGTCTCTGACGTACTGATAAACGGCAACGACCGTAAAACAGCTGTCTACGTCTGGCGTGTTGCACACACGGTGAACTGCTTACATGTTATAGACATATAGGGCAAAACGTATTATACCGTACTCCCGATATAGGTGCTAACTAAAAGCCCAGACACGTGTTTCGTCGATATTCTGCCTTTGCGTGGCACAGCTGCAAGGGGTTCGGCTCTTCAGTGGGTGCACCAGCATTCCCTATGCGGTTTCTGGTGTATGAACTCCAGAGGATAATTAAGCGAATAATTTCAGAAATTAGTCAGTGCAGGACATGGAGTCGAGTCTCCGGACATGGCTTTTTTAGATGGTAAGGGGCGCTCACTGATCGTTCTTACGGAACTCACTCGTTCCGTTGTGCATTACGGGCTCTCCCTCAAGCCCAACCAGTAGCCGCACAGCGGCGTATGACATAGGCAGTATGTTATTACCGCCCCCTATCATTGTATATTTCCGATCGAAAACAGACAGGACAACGGGCTCGTGGCCCAGTGGTTAGAGACGCGGACATCTAATTAACAGGTCGCGAGTTCGAGCCTTGGGTGTCCAACACTTCGGGGTTGGGTATGCCTGACTGACGACGGTTAATAAGCCGGAAGCGATGATTGCAGTCTCCCTTGTCTTTGTCGGCAATAACATACTGACTAGATTCATACATGTATATTTAGAATTAGAAAGGTGAAGTTCTTTGGGAAACAGTAAACTTTATTGCGTGCATTTTCGAGACTGGTTCCCAGCTCGTCTTCAGACAACGGGCGTGCAAAAACAATTAACTTCTAGACTGAGTCTGACAAAATAATTCTATGATTGGCTAAGGTCATCATCTCAGGATTGGTTGACTCAGTTTGAATCTGTCCTTAACGATTTTGTATGTGACATCTAGATCGATATGCCGGTGGATGCATGCCTCATCTGAGTGCATTGTCTCCAGGAATTCGCGGCCTTTCCTTGTTGGGCAGGCATCAACAATGACAGTGTTTTCCCATGCAAATTTATGCCCAGTGTCCAGTGTGTGCATGGCCACCTGGGATAGATGGTCGCGTCTCTTCACCGCTGACTGATGCTCATGTGTACGGGTTGAGACAGATTTCCAAATTTGGCCACAATAAACGGCATAAAAACTCAGGATCAGGCGCTCACCTACCCATTGGCTTCCCGAAACAAACAAGCCTCGTTTGGGTGATAGGGGTCACGAACACGCAACCACCTATGTACTAGGCTAAAGTCGGCCAAGTTATGATAACAGAGGTGAGACGACAGTTTGGAGTTGGATTGATACAGAGCTATTTCGGGCTCGTGTGCTTTTATTCAGCCAACCATACCCCTGACTACGAGCTGGGATCGGAAACACAAACAAGCGCTCACATACATGCCACAGCTGGTCCACTACCGGCTCTACCAGATGAGCTACAGGCACTTAATCGAAACAAAGTTCATCAGTGCCTCGCCATCTGTCATTCTCTGTCGCTGCAGATCGGGTATTTATTCAATCAGGAGTGGGCGCACACCGATCTATTGGCTTCCCGAAGCAAACAAGTTCCGTATGAGTGGTGAAGGTCACGAACAGGCAACCAAGTACCAGGCTGAAGTCGGCCAGGTCAAAAGAGGAGCAAAAATTGGCTGAATGAAAGCAAAACAAGCCAGAAACAGGATTGTATCAATCGACTCGCATTCTCTATCGTCCCTCCTCGCTGCTAAAATGACTTGGCAAACATACTGATCCCACCAGACGACAATCTCCAAACCGGACATCGGTCCGGATGCGAGTAAAAAAATCTCTATAAATGTAGGATGATAGCAGATTTGCCACACGTCTGAAAAGGGCCCGGGTAAGCTGTAATTGAAATTTATTGGGAACATCTTCCGACTCCACGCAAATTTCGCTGACTTGAAATTAGGCTTAAATCGACGCTACTGGGGTAGATATACGTGTAGGGATCCCCAGCGAATAGTTTTGATTGTGTTTGGCTATTTGCTTTATTTCAGTAGTCAGTGTTTATAAGCTAAGGCTACACGACGTTAGCGGTTAGGTTAAGCTGACGTTCGGGGTGGGCGTTGGCTCAATTAAAAGTCAACCGGAAGGAAAAGTGGGAGGTCAAACTGAGAGATCGATTGTAGCCTTCGGTTATTTTAGCGTCTCTTGTTATTAAAGATGCGTCCAAGTACAACACCAACGCGGTAAATGAATGCACAACTAGTTCGAAATTTTGACCCTCATACTTACCCACATGCACTTCTGGAGAAAGGCGGAGCGATCTTATCGAGGACGTCGGCCAATTCGAGGAACGATTCGTCTATGGGCTCATCAGGAGACTCAGACTTTGAGTGCCTGTAGTCGGATGACTTCCAGGACTCACGAGGATCACAACCATACAGGAAGACGTCCTTTTGGCGTGAGTGCCCATGACAGTCGATGTAAATCTATCAAAAGCACATAAGCAACAGTAAAGTGCACTACACCCTCTGTACATAGATGACGTCCTAAAAAAATAAGCGAGGCATCAGGTAACGGGTGTCAATTATTATTAAAGCTGCACTGGAAATTTTCGCATAAAATGACGAAGTCAGTTAGAAGCGAGTTATTCACGGCTGACAGGTAGACTGCGTCTTTTATTGATTAGACAACTTAAAATGTCAATCAACCTTTTTCTCCCCTGGGAGTATATATGACCATGTGTTCGAAAACACCCACACTAGCTTGCTGAGTGTTCGATTTATTCACAGACCTATATGTATTGGGTGTCCGAGGGTACAGTCCTCCTCCACAGCAGGGAATATGAAAAAATGAGCATCTTCGATGACCTTCGAGTGTTACACACTTCCTCAAACGAGACGATCCGGAAACAGCGATAGTAGCTTGCTGAGTGTCCGATTTATTCACAGACCGATATGAATTGGGTGTTCGAGGGTACAGTCCTCCTCTACAGCAGGGAAGATGAAAAAGTGAGCATCTTCGACGAGACGATCTGCATCCACTGAAACAACAATGCCAGAAGAAGCCAAACCACTAATAAGGGTAGCTGATTTAGGCACACTCGGTTGTCTAAGTCAGCCTAGCGCGGTTGTCTTAAATACAACACCATTCCGTCAGCGGAAGCAGCGTTGAGAACGATGACCGCATAATCGAGCTCAACACGGTTCGTTATGGTAATTATTTTCTTCCCGGTATTCGACTCGCACTTCCGAAGAGGTTCTTTGTGCTAACCGGATCTACCACCACAGATCACCGGGTGTGCGCAGTGATTGTGACGAGTGGTTACTGATTCCGCGTCTAGATTAGGCATGATCGCAGCCGGATCATATGCAGATAACTTATATGGACGACGACGAGAATTGGAGGCTCTTTATGAAATGATAGGACATCAGTCCCCTAGATAGCCCGTCTTGGCTTTCGTACATGCACGTAAGTTCCTCAGCGAGGACCTTGTAGTGCCTCATGGTCTGTTAACTGCGTCTGTCCATGGCTGAAGTCCAAGTCATTGTATCTAGTCTTGAGTGTGCTGCGAGTTGCAGTCGGGAGGCAGGTCGGCGCGCCGATTTATGCAGCTGATTCGGGGGGTGCATGCCTCGAGCAGCTCAAGAATTCCTGTAGCCAGACCAAGCTGCTCTCAATATGTCTAAAAAGCAGAGTCGTGGCATTCGGCATAACATACCAAGATTGCTCGCACGTGTTTATTTTTATTTCGGTTGGCACGGTTTCTCGCGATATCATCAAGCAAGCAAAACACACAGAAAATCATTTGGGAGATTCTGATTGCATATATAGGTTGGACATGCAACCAACGTCCTCGCAGATGTGCAGACGAAATGGAGGGGGCAACAGCGTCTGGGAGCATGAAGAAGTTTTATAAAGATAATTCCTTTGTTTATCAATTTCCTCGAGAATATTAATAAAACCCAAGCACTTGTGGACGGTTGCTTTATTAACGCATATGAAACGGGAAAGAATATGTCTTATTTTGGCCAAGTAAGTACGGTTTTCGGGGACGAATTTGTGGTCAAAGCGAAGCATGTGCATTGAGACAGCTAACTGCAGATTCAATATTAATTTTGCAGGCATTTGCAACCGTCGTAGCGAGAGCTGGAGTGCATACCTAAATCACATTGGAACGCAGGCGATCTACTGGTTAGCCCTTTCACCGCAGTTGCTTTATGCGTCGTCCGCAGGAAATCGGCAAAAAGCGTGTCTCTATAGGGTGAATGATTACTCAGACTTCACTACGTGATCTTTCGGCTGAGGCTGACAGGTTCCAACCCGAATTCTTGCATACAAATGCGGGTCGGATCTGGAAAGGCCGGTTTAGATGACATGACGCTAAGCCCAGTCAATAATTTGAGACGATGTCTGTATTGTGCTTTTCAATTATATATCTGGTTCGGTTTCTTTAGAGAAGGCAATTCAGATGAACTGACTTGTGCGACTTCATTAACAGGGCATGAGAATAGGTACGCCCGCCCAAACAATAAAGGTGGAGCTGCGCATATCTACGGAAAGAGCAAAATATTCCCGTGTCCTAATTCCAAGAATAATCCTAATATAAAACTAACCCGTTACTCTAGTCTTGTCACTAACCCTACCCTTAACCTTAAACTTGCAATTAACACTAGTCGCTATCTTAAATTCTAAGTTTGATCCTGACATGCCTTACCGCTAGCTTTAAAGCTAGCCTTAAAACCAGACCTCAACCCAACCCTAACTTTCATTTCACTGAAAGTCGGTCCAAAGTCGCCTGTACTACAGGTGGTGCATCTTCCATTGTCCTGCTTATGAAGCCATATAGGTCAGTTCTACCACAAGTAATTGTCAAAGACCCAGTACCAGTGGTAGAATGATTGGCGGTGGTTAACAGCATATCATGCCAAAACTGTGAAACAAGGTATGAAGGCGAGTCGGAAAAACGCATTGGCATAAGAATGCACGAACACTGACTTGCAATCAACCGCAAGGACAAACTGTCTCTCGCCTATGGCTACATACAGCAGCAGAACCGGAAAGTAGGCTGATCGACCGGACCAATAAGCAGATGCTCAGACTGATGTTCAAAATTTGGTCCTCGAATGGCACAATTAACCGAGCCACATATCTGCATCTATCATATCAGGCGCTCTGCACAAGGCGCGAATCAGTTCGTGCAGGGTCAATAGGACAGACGAGCACAAGGAACGACGCCAGCTCTCAAGTTGCGGCTCATTCAACGAGATCCGGCCACACAGTCAAATTCGACGAGGCTGACGATTATGATGCAGCATAACCCTATAAAATTTCGGACTTGCCAGGATGTCGGCTTTTGAATGCACTTCTTTTTGACCTCCTGCAAAAACCACACTCGGCAGAAAATGACTACTTAAGTAGCAGAAATTTTTATCATTGATTTTCGATGGTTTTATAGAGTAAAATATATTTTATAGAAGACATGCACAAAATATGCTTTCTTCTACTCATTTGGTAGTAAATCAAATTGTTTCCATATTTTATGCCCGAAGAAAGTGTATATTTAGGTTTTAAAAAGTCTCTTATTATGAGGTTTATAAGACCACGCGATGTCCATAAACACAAGACCGAACATGTCAGTTTACTAATACTCCTCATGAAATGTGCAACACATTCAGGAGCCATCGGAAAATTTCACGGACTCTATGTTGTATCTTCTTAAAAGCAAATAGGACTATATGATTTTCCTTACGCGGAAAGCATGCACCTTGTAGACTGGAATTGCTTAACCCGGATGCAATGGCAGATCAGGCTGAAACTTATTCGGGAATTGGAATTTTTTTTCAAAACCTAAATGTATCCCCTCTTTAAGCATGAAATGTTAAGACGACGTGATTTACTATCAAATGAGCAAAATAAAGCATATTTTTGTGCATGTTCTCTAAAAAAATATATTTAAATTTATAAGACCATCGAAAATCCATTGAAAAAATGCATGCTACATAAGTAGTCATTTCTTACCGACCGCGATTCCCGCAGGAGGTCAAAAAAGTGCACTCAAAAGCCGACATCTTGGCGAGTCGGAAATATTATAGGGTTATGCTGTAAGATAATCAGTATTACAGCCCCACTTCAGTAATTCTTCCTAATCGGAAACGCATTTCGGAATTCTGGCCAACATTTCATGAGATCGGTCACGCACTGCAGGTTTAGAAAAAGCTAGTACGCGTCACGCTGCCCTGAGGAGGTAACAGACTCGGCTTCAGAGTCGGTGCCGGTTCGACCATCGCGTGTGCACTGCGTGCCCTAGGGAGTTGGTGCAGCATCGGTGACTTGGTTGTGAACCTGTGTATAGTAACGCAGACTTTCGCAGCATCTACTGCACTAACTCCTTTCTCATGCCTGATCGTGTTCCAATGATAAGACAACGGATGCTTCAGACGACAGTCCTTCCGACGTCTTGAAACATCGAGAGCAACTGTCAAAGAGCGTCAGACAAAGCAAAAACAGCACTAAACAAGAGAGCTTTCGATAAAATACGAAAGGACCGCAACATGCGCGCAGAGTTACGTACAAAGGGTGCGTTACCCGTCTCGGCGAGGAGGTTGATGAGGCACTTCGTGTGGTAGATGGTGGGGTGGAGAGTGGGTGAGGGATTTATCCACTGACGGTTGAGGTCCCTCGCCGCAAGCGAGCATCGATGACTTGGAAAAGAGGTCAAGGCAATATCATAAAGGATTAGTCGTGAGGCAGAGGGTCTATGTATACAGTTCAAAGGAATTGCTCTGGTACAATTATAAGTTAACCGGACGGACAGTGAGAATGTGCAGATGTGTTGCGAAAATTCCAAGTGAAGAATTCAAACGACAATTTGGCGAGTATACGTTAGCCTGTACATTTACACTGCTATCGAAATATGTGGATGTTCCTATTCTTAACAAACGCATATCGCCGGACTGTCCAGTTCGACGCTAAATGAAAACCAACGCTTTCCGCCGCCGTCGTGGGGATTTCTGTCACCTTTTCTGTTTCATCAGTTA